TTTTTTTTTTTTTTTTTTAACCAAAATGCTTTAAAGAAAGTTTCTAGAATAGGAAATGGGGTAAACTCACCATCTTTGGAGCTTTAGAATAGCTTCTTGAATCAGACTTTTCTGTTGTAGAGAGGAGAACTTCCAAGTCAATTCTAAAAGCCCTCTGAGGCACGTTCTTTCTGGGGAAAAAACAAGGTAATTTCATAAGTATTCTGAATTAAATGCTTTTATAAAAGAGCATAGCAGTTTTTAAAATTCAGGCTTTTCCAAGTCTTTTGCGTTTATAGAAGACTGGCTAATTTTAAAACGTCTTTGGTTGATGTCCCTAAATTTCAGGATCACTGTACAGCTTAAATCCTTGAGGGATAAAGAATCTCTACAGCAAGTAACTTTTTATGTGTTTTGATTATTTGTGGGACACTATTAACTACATAAAGGCTACTGTATTATTCGCAGGCCCTACCTGATATAACCACACTCCACACTTTCTGAATAATTACTTTAACTGAGGAGTTGCATTATATACTGATTAATTCTGTCCTGTTAACTTGGGAAGCTTAGACTGTTTACTGCCTGAGCATTTCCACAGCAGTATAGATCAAGGTATAGCATGCACTTCCTAACTTTGTTGCTAGCACGCATCCAGACTGAAATGTGCTGCAACAACAGAGCTAGTAATTGTGTGACTCTTGTACACTGAATACAAAGCTTTGTCACCGGGTGGCTTCAGGAGGGGCAGTGTGGTGTACAAACCCCTGATGCTGGCTGAGTCAACAGAACAGATCTGCGTCATCAAGCAGATAGACATAAAATGTTTGTGGTCCTAGTCTGTACTAGTCAGTTTACAGACTACTTGTATTTAATGCAGATCTGTTATTGAAACACAGTACATGGGCAGTTGCTCCTTACGGTGCACCAGAAGGAGGTGAATGGCTGGAGGAGGCTTCTTTTTTTTTTAATGGATTTTTTTGTATCTCTCTAGTTGAAAATCCCTTGTTTCCCTGTGATGAGAGAGACAATGCAGGTCTCTCTAGAGACAATGTATAATCAGTTCAACACTGTTTCTGACTCAAGTTTGTTATGTTGCCTTGCCTTGTGTCATAAACATCTACCGTAGATGTTTCAACATAAAGAAACAGCTACAGACGTTCTTGCATTAGGTGAGCAAACTAACTTCTGTCATTAAGGATTTTTTGTTTTAGCTGTTCCCTTTGTTTAAACCAGTTCTCCCTTCTGATTTCTACCACTGTGTAATGTCTTAGTCGATAGCTAGCTGCAGCGGTATGTTGTCCTGTTCTGCGCTTGGATCTTAAGGCAATTTGAAAACGTTCATAGGAACGTTTAGGAATAGGGAATATTCTCTTAGCTGTTTACCTCATACAAGGCTGTTCAGTAATGTTTACCCTGTTTGCACAATTGGTAATTGATTGTTGGGGGCAGGGAGTAGGTGTGGGCTCTTCCTTCATACCTTCTGTGGAGGTTTCTGAGACTTCAGTGTGGCCACCGAGTTAAATCATCATGCTTAGAGTGGAATGTGGTGGGGTGAGAATAGTTTCTGAATCATTAGGAAGATAAAAGGATTTTTTTTTTTTTAAGGCACAGGTTTGTTTAGCTGCTGTCACAAAGCCAGTCTGACTAGCATCTTCAGCTATATCGTATTTGTCAAAACAGCTTTTTTTTTTCCCTTGAGTCCCCTTTAGCCTCTGTCTAAAGCCACTAAGAGGGATAACCAGCTATGAAAGCATAACTCTATTTTTGCATTTTTTTCAGTGCGCTCTAAATAACATCCCAAAGCAAAACAAGCATACTTGTGCTTGTTTTAATCAAAATGCAAGTTACTTTCCTACCTTGCGTTAAAACTACACATATTCAAGAAATTTATTCTCTCTTTTACAACAGGAGATGTTAACTTCTTATCACATTTGTTTTTTCATTGGCAGTTCAACAACAGTGCATGACTGTTAATTGTCGTCTTTTCAGAAAGACGCAGTTCAGAGCTTGCTGACTATTTTCTGTTTGGACGGTGTCTAACACCTGTAAAGGCAGAATAGAATCATCTGCATAAAGTCAGCGTAGCTGTACAGTCTTCTGCAGCACACCCTGGTTGTCTTTGTATCCCTGCAATACCATTGTTTGAATCTGTCTGTATGCACTGATTCTAAAGAAGTAAAGATGCCTAGCTGGATTTGGGAAGCTGGAATAACTTTGTGCATTTTTCTTGCGCTCCAGACTGCTACCTTAATAATGATTAAAATGATTAACCTTAAGCAAAACTATTTTCTGGGTACTGGTCACACCTACTGGACTGCTATCTCTCTTTTGAGATACCAGTATATCACTGGCTCCTTGTGTAGGAGTTGGTTTCAGTAAGATAATTCCCATGTGGATGGGATTATATAGCCCTGTGTTCATCTTAGAATATAGTCTTTGTTATTCCAAGTTGCCTAAGTGCTGTAAAGCAATGGGCTTTGCAGCTTCAGATTCCAGTCAGTCACCTTAACTCCTTAAAGTGGCATCACATGAATGGAACGCAATAATGGATTTATTATTCCTAATAAAATCTGAATGGACTAACAGTTTTGATCGAGCAGTGGTGCACTTCTGCTACGTGAAGCTGTCTAGTCATTTGATAGCTTTGTTTCTGCTGTAACTTAATTTTGTCTTAGGCAGCTTCTTTCATGCTTACGGCTAGTGAATATTAGAAACTGGTGTAGCTTCAACAAGGGTATTGTTCAGTCACAGATAAAGGAGGAAAGATGGCCTTTGTAATACTCTAAAAGAGTAAAAAGGAAAATCCCACTGACAGGTTCCTTAACGCCTCCCAAATTTGAACTGATTTTTTAAAAGAAGTTAAAGATTGATTTTTTTTTTCCCCTCCCACTTTTGTTTTTGTTTTCTCTGCCCTTCCCAAACACAGCTAAGTGTGGGTAAACAAACACCTGTTTTACCTACTGATCTAGTTAGCAGAGACTCAGTTAATGAAATTTGAAAATCCTAGGATGTTAGCAGCTCTAATAGCAAGGTACAGAGACATTTAAGATGTAATCTAAGCAGAGTTTGTGGAAAAAGCAGGATTTCTGGTTCACGAGAGTTTGGGGTTTTTCTTTTTGTTTTTAGTAAGGCTTATCTTAACTTGCATTAAAACCAATATTTGTTAAACTTTTCTTGAGATAGAAATTCCCCAGTCCTTCAGCTGCCTGGTGAGACTGTTGCTTTTGCCAGTTTCCGTAGTGAGAAAGTGGAGGGGGTGAAGCTCCTGTGAGTTTCAGCTCTGGGCGAGAGACAGGGCAGGACATGGGGCTCCCCTGAGCATTCACAGTTTTTACATCCTTGAGGCAACTCCTTGGACCTTGTCCCAACTCCACAGTAAGGAACACAGGTTCTTGGGGTTTTTTGGCTTTTTGGTCTGTAATGAGAATAGAAGGTCTCAGCTGGTCTGGAGGGTTTCAGACTTTATGAAAAAAGCATGAAAACTGAGATATATCTGCCTGCCAGAGCCATAGATTCTCCTGGATCCTTAGTTCTGGCTGCCTTCCCCCCTCCCATGTACTCCATCCTTTATAACTGTTCAAAAGCAGCTGTAGCGCTTTCGGAGACACTTCAAACTTTAATATCGTGCAACTTCCCAATAAGTTTGTCAGAAAGGTTGCACTTTGTTTAGTTGCTACATACATGCAAATTGCTGTCAAGTTTTATTTTGGGCCTGTGCACCTTTACTTTAGATATAAAACTACAAATGCGTTTGGGTACTTCTTGAGATGTGGGTTGGTTTCGTAGTACCTCCTACTGCTTGATAATTAACCCCCTTTGTAGCCCCTTTAATGTCCTAGGCTTCTTTCTGAAAGATCATTTCCTTATAAACAAGTGTTGTCTTACCGCGCATAAAACGGCTGCTCAGGGCTTTAGGATCCTGATGTATTAAGTGGCTATCCAGCACCACTTATACCCCTTTCACATTGGGGTGCTGAATGGTGCACCACCTAAATCCATTTGTGGACCCTGTTGTTACTGCTTTCCAAATGCATCCTTTAGTACTAGAGTAATCTAACTATATAAAATCTTACCGCTAAATGATAGGAGCGAAGGATGAAATTCTAGGCATTGCTGACCAGAGAGATGAGGGTCATGCTTTAGAATTTGTCATCTCTGTAATCTTCAAAATCTCCCAAGAATGCTCCTCGACAGAAAGTATTCAGAAATAATGAACTAAAACCAGTTTGCATTTCAAAGCACTGAGTTTAACTTCATGTTAACGTGGCCACCAGAGGGCAGCATGTTACATGAGCTGAAAACGCAGAACCTAATCTATTTTGGTTATAAGCAAAGACGGACTTGTATAATCTTGAGTTTTGAAAAGCACCGGTGATTCGTTCGTAAGTTTCTCTTTTGTGCTGAGCTGTAGCCAACAGCCTCGAGCTGTAGCAAACAGTCCTTAAACACTCATCATGGCAATAACTTTCTGAGATAGAGAAGTAATATTGAAATTTGCAAATGGGGAAGATAGTCTATTTAAGATATTATTTGCCCATTTTGTCATATCTGTGCCACATTAAAACTGAATGTAGCTTCTGTGACTTGCATTCCAGTGCCTTTAGCGTAATACTACTGCTGCGTATAACCTGCATAAGACAGAGGTAGCGGTAGCTTATTCCCTTACTTCCTGAGGTGTTTTTACCAGTAATAGAATTCATTCTTCCTGTTTTTGTCTCAAGGGTAGTTAGCCTATATTGCTTGTTTATCTTGTGTGGTAAAATGGATGTCAAAGTTGATTGCATTTTATGCTCAGTGTGTTAGGATTCATTTATTTTAAATGCAGTGTCTGCACTGTTTGTTTTTTTTTTTTTCCTTTTTTCTTTTCATGGTAAGCACTGCAAGACTTGACTTAATTCCTGTGAAGCAGCACGGTCTAGGAAACTCCTAATGTAGATTATCTAAAGTGATGTTATGTTAAAGGCACTGGTAGGTTGTGACTCAAAAACCCCTACACTTAGTTTGCACTTGGCACAGATGTGGCACAGTGGGCAGATCACATCTTACAAGGCTCACATACCCCACTTGTGAAGTGCAGTAATGCCATTTACCTCAGCAGACTGTTACTGCCATCAGTGTCTGAGAACCTAGCTGTAAGAAGAACACAATAGAACAAGATGTTAAATAATAAAAATCACTAATTAACTTGTTTGCAACTTTTTTTGATGCTGTGGTATGGCTGTATTCAGTAGGCTCTTAAATCAAAAGTCACTGATGCCTTTATGCTTGGGAAGATTTAAACCAAGAGTTTAAATACCAGATGTAGACATTTTCCTGCAGTTGCAATGTTTTCTTTTTTAAATTTGTTTCAAACAGAGCCTAGAATTTATATACTTGGAAGCCTAATATACTCTTTTTTTTTTTTTTTTTTTTTTTTTTTTTTTTAAAAGGTTTTTTTTTTTTTTTTTTTGCAAAGGGCTCTTCCTTTTATGAGTAATGGAGATGCAGTGCAGCAGGGCCTTGTTTACCTTCCAGGTGATTTGAGCATAAAGGCAGATTGAGTCTGGTACTGCCTGTCCTGAAGTGGTGACAGTAAACCTGGATGGACTTGAGCTATTTATTGTGGAGGTGCTCGAGTGTCTTTGCACGTTGCTTCAGTAACAGCAGTATTACCAGAATGTACGGTGCAACCTCAGTAGGCTTGGTAGGCAGCCAGCCTGAGTCCATGTGGGCCTACTGGTTGAGGCCTTGTGTTGGGTGGAAGTGGCTAAACTGCACCTGGATCCAAGTTGGCGTATGAAGTGCTACAGCTGTGTTGTTGCGCTGGTGCACATGGTCTAATAAATCCACACTGCTCTGTCTCTTTGTATCCATGGCTCAGTTAATCTACAAACCGGATAAACTGCCCACAGATAATTGAGAGTTTATACTATGCTGCATGTTCCAGATAAGAGATAGAACATGCAATATACAAAACGGTTTTTAGAATAAGTCAATTATACTGAGTTCACCTTCTTGTCCTTGCTGTTTGGGACAGTAGCATACGATGCCAAAATCTGACATAATGTTCTTAGAGTGACTAGATTGGTGTTTCACTAAGGTTCCTAGGCATTTATTTTAAGTCTACTTACGCTTTGAAACATTGGATAACTTAAAATAAAAGGATGCAAAAAAACAAATGGACATCTCAAGGGCTGCAGTCTCTTTTCATAGCTGATTGGTAGTAATTTTTCAGACTCCATACCAACTAATAAATCTACTTCAAGTTTTTTTTCATATGCTATATTGTTATGAAACCATATTTTAAAATAGGAATTATTTATGTGTGACCCAGTACAGCTGGGCATTTTGCCATACAGCATACCAGTACATGATGTTTTAATGCTAGCATTTGCACCAGAGTCGCTGATGGCAATTTGGTAATCAGATTTTTGTCTTCTGGATAACAAAAATGATAGAAGTGAGTGAAATACACTATTTAGATTTCTCAAGTCAACAGTTACTTAGGCAATATGCTTAATATTAAAGCAGACTAATGTTTGTACTGAACTTTATTGTATCTGGGTAATAACTATGTTGAAAAGGGGTGTTTTGAGAGTCACTAAATTGCACTGTGTTTTGCAGCGCGTTTTGTTCTGGGGGGAACGCATGTGTTCTTGCAGTGATCTGTTCCTGAGTGTAGCATCCAGAATATATTTTCTATCCAGTTGCTAGTTTGAAATTTGCGTTCTGATAAAATTCTTGGTTTTTTTTTTTTTTTTTGATCTAAAGTAATTCTTATACATCTCATTTAATTTATATGAAATTAATTCTAAGAGCCTAGGCACACTTAGCCAACACATTCTAGAATTGTTAAAGTGCCAGTTGTTAAGTGCTTGTTTACATGAAGTTATCATAACATGTTTTTAAGATTTCAAGTTCTGTTTAATGTCCTACTCAAATGGGAGCAAGCAAGTATCTTCACAGATTCCAGCTGTGTGAATTTCCAAAGTTTTTGACCTATACCTTTCAATAGTCCCATGTATGAGGCTGTTACAATAATTAGTGTGTAATCAGCAACCCAGATAAGTTTGCATTTTCTTCTTATATTGAAAACTTCAATTTCTGAGGAATGTGAATCAATTCATAATTGGCTGAAAGCCAGTTTCTTCTCCTCAACTCTAACGCGTGTTTGAAAAACGAACTCACTTCCTAAGTGCCTTGTGAATCTGCAATGATTAATTCTTCTCATTATTTTGCTGCAAATTCTCATGACCCTCTGTGATGATTCGATCACCCACTTAGAGTTTATGCATATTCATATCTTTTCGCTCCTGCCGCAGTCGTTCAAGTCTCCTTCACTGGCTGTGGTGTGTGCTTGGTGCAGTAATTGAGCTGCAGTAGATTGATTACTCTGGGGAGCTGTAAGGCCTTTAAAGGTGAAAACATATCAGTCCTGTTAATTAGGAAACAAAGCTCTGGTGGCAAGTTCAGCAGTCAAATGCTTCCAATGTAGAAATGAGGAAAGGTATGATTTGTTCCTCTCCATGAACCCTGTTTACTTTTTTATATTTGAATTAGATCTGTGTTTGCTGTAATAGGCTTGTGCAGAAGACAGCATATTTTGTATGATTGTATGGTGATGGTATTTTAAAACAAAAAGAACTGTCTTTGATATTGATTGTAATTATTAGTGGGTGTCAGTCACCTCTTAAATTATGCATTATAGGTCACATAGTGCCTAAGATAAAGTTCAGTGTGAGCTGAAAAATGGAATCATTGATTGTAAACTTTAACCAAAAACATTTATATCATTCATTCTTTCAGACCTGAATGTTAATCTTTTCTGAAAATCTATCACATTAATTCAGAGAAATCATAATAAAACCTGGAATCTCTTCTTTCTCCCATTAAGATGTCTATTGCCTAACATGTACAAGATTAATTAAAGAGAATGCGTTCTTAAAATTAGGTGAATATTAAATGATAGCATAAGGTTTCATCCAGCAGACAGCATCCTTACATCATCATTGTAAGTACCCTGTGGTTTTATGTTGCTAAGCACTCTAATCTAGAGTGGCCTATTACAAAGATATTAAGGGTAGGGGAAACCATCTGCCACACAATCTATCCATAAGGGTCAGAAATAAATAATTTAAAAGTAATTTATATGTCTTAAAAACCACTTTTTCCTCAGTAATTACTGGACAACAGATTGTAGAATACAGATGTTATGAAAATGTCACTGTTCTTGTAAACAGCAAGTGATCCATTGCTGCTTTCGGGTGAGTTACAGGATGGTGTTGTCATACCTGTTCCTACTGAGCTCAGAAAGAAAAGTCTTACTGAAACAAGTGCATGTGAGATTGGACTCCAGTTAGTGCGTCTTACGCTAAAGGATTTCATATCCACTGGTTGATTTTTTTTCTTCTTTTTTTTTTTTTTCCTCCTCTCTGTTTCAGGCATTTATTAACACTGCAAAGGAGATCTATGAGAAAATCCAGGAAGGAGTTTTTGACATTAATAACGAGGTAACTTTCAGTACTTCCAGTACTCTGAACACTTTTTTTTTTTAATGTACAAAATTCATTTTGCCCAAAAGATTGGAGAGTAAAATACTTGTCCATTCCACTTGGATATAGAATTGTCTGCCGTTGTGATAAAAATGGATTAAAATAAGTGACCCTATCCATCCATGAAGCATCACAAAATAATATAAATCCCCAAAAGAGAAGAAAATCCACTTTCATCCACTTCTCCATATGGTGTCATCTGTTTTCAAAGATAATTTTCCACTATGTAAATGGGGGACCATGTTGATATGCCAGATGCACTCCATGAGCTGTCCAGTGTAGGGGAGGGATTGCTTTGAGAGTTACATAAAAGACTTCTGAAATGTTTCTGGTTTAGGTGCCTGGATTCTGTAGGGAATAAAAGATCAGCCATTTTGCTTATGCACATTACTGAAATTATAGATTATCATGGCCTGTCTCTGTGGGTTATTTGGGGAGGGGGGAAGCAGGGGCTGCTTCTGTAATGCAAGAGTCTAACCAAAGACCGATAATTAATCTCCTGAATTTTAAAATTATTGTCCTGTTGAAAGTCTTGGGTAATTAGGAGATACGTTCCTGGCCATGGAAAAAGCTGGTTCAAATTCAGTGGTGGTAGATGGGAATATTTGCTAGGATCACATAATGTTTCAGTTTTTAATACTTGCATCCAAAAAAAATGCCACGTATATAGGTTTAAATTTTACAATGTGAAGTGGCCGGTCACTTCTGGTGCATAAATAAATAGGGACTCCGATGTGTCCCTAACTATCACTGCTGAGGTGCTCAGTAAAACCATATGTGGAAATCTGTACTGCCATTATCTGTTCTGTGAATAAGTGAATCCTCTGGCTAGGACTGTCAGTCTGAAGCTTCTCTGAAGTGTGATAGTCCTTACAGAGTTGCTCAGAGAGGGAACAGTAGCAAGGAAATTGGCAAGACTGTATTAAATAGCATCACTGCTCTGCTTACCATATCTCAACATAAGAAATGTTAAGCTAGTAAAAAATTGTTGTTACGGGTAAAAAAAAAAAAAAAAAACTGTAGAGAAGAAATAATGAGAAATTTCAGTAGTATGAGAAGTGTTTGCAGTAGGAAATGTGTAGCTAAATATGGCTTCATGAGTAATCATGCAAAGACACTAGTCCTGACTGAAAAAAACTATGTATGTATTTAGCGCTTTGGTGAAACACTATTTTAATTAAGTTTCGTGATGAAAAACTTAAAATTGTCTTTAAAGGTTTTTCTAAAGTTGAAGAAAATGCACTCAGTAGTGCAATATAAATTGGACAGTAATCGGAGTGTCTGAAAAGGCATGCTCATTGTATCTGTCGAGTTTCATATAGTAGCTGACTGCTTTACTGTGCCTTATGGAGCTTTGATTGCAATATGCTGTCAAGAGCCAACAGTCCATGCTAGTTACTTGGCGTTATGCCAAGTCTGGCTCCTTGATTCTTCAAGAAGTTGCTACCAGCCCAGAGGGGGCAAAACCAATGAGCCATAGGGCATGCTTTTTATTAAAGAGGAGTCAAAGAGCGAAAAGAAACCACATCAGCTGCTGTCAATACTGAGCTAGTGCCAGAAACCCCAAGGCTACTACTGTTGCAGAACAACTGCCAAGCACTATAAATCTGAGATTTACTGTGACGCAAAGTTTCCTTAAGAGCTTAATTTCTGAAGCTACTGTATTACTTTGAGAAAAGTGCTGTATTTTTAGGTAAAATCCACTTGAGGGAGTGAGGGTTAAGATATAAGTGTGATTTTGATGAATGAAAGAGCTACGCTGTGTGTGGGTTCTTGGCAAGTAGCCATGTCTTTCGGGATCATAGAAATTATTGATGACACAGAGCACTCGTATGCCCTTAGCCTGTACAGCTGATTCAACACAGAAAGAAATGCTGTCTAGAGAGGAAAAGTTTTGTGCTAAACTAATGGAGGTTTTGGTAGGAGGAGAGGGGTTATATGTTCCTAGTAAATGTAATATGTTTTTAAAGCCTAATATGAAGCAATATTCAAATACTGTTCTTGCTCTGTGTTTTCATGCTAGGAGTTTAAGGTGCAGAATTTAATATGGAGAGAAATTTAAATGAGAAGGAAAGCATCTTTCTTTTAAATCGTATTTCATTGCCGAGAAAGCATTGCTCAAAAAAAGCTTTGCTACATTTATTGTATTGTGAAAGGAGAACTTGGTATATGACCTTCTTAAAAAAGTTTTCAAGCATATTAGTGTTCTAAAATAATGATATTGTGTATTAAACTTTATTTCAGGCAAATGGCATAAAAATTGGCCCTCAACATGCTGCAACTAATGCAACGCTTGCAGGCAATCAGGGAGGACAACAAGCTGGTGGAGGCTGCTGTTGAGCCTATTTTTACTTTCTAGCTGCCTGGATGGGGCCTACTAACTTTTTTTTCCCCCCTCCCCCTCCCCCCCGCCCCGCTCCGCTCGCCTCCACTTCAGTTCAACTGAGACATGAAACTTGTAAGTTAGTTTCCTGTTGCAGAAGAAGACTTTATCCTTCAAATTCTTGTATAACTTTGAATAAATGGTTAATGTTCACTTAAAGACAGATTTTGGAGATTGTATTCATATCTATTTACATTTGATTTCTAGGTCAATTGATGTGATTATTTTTGTTAAATGTTGTCTTGTGCCCTTGACTACGAACTGAATTGTATTAAACACTACAAAGTCATCTGAGTATTTTAATCAGTTTGTGTAGTTAGGTTTCCCAGCTCCTGTGGTTACCTAATGTTTAATATTGTAGAGCTGTCCTCAAGTTATTTGTCAATTTTCAAGGCTATGAAGAGAAGCAGAAGGACTCTTTTAATTCTGTATTTATCACTTTCTGTATATATAGTTTAATAACCTGCTTGGGTGTACTTGCCAAGCTAGAATTCTTTAATGCATTTGCATAAATTCTATACTACTTAGAGCTTGAAAACTACAGAAGCATTATTAGAAATTGCTTGGATGCTAAATTTTAAACCTTTTTGACATTGTTAGCATGTTCATCCTCCCCTGTTATTATCCTGAAGTCCAAGAAAATGCTTAATGTATACTACTAGAGGCTACTTACATGCTATCTATTTTAATGCCAAATGTTTGCTGTTTGTCCACAATTTCCACAGCACCTCTTCAGAAATGGATTAGCTGTTTGCCTTAATGAATACTAGAGGTAAAAACAGAGTATGAATGAAAAATACGGGAGTTGATAAATTTAAAATGGCACATTGTTAGAACTTTAATGTTCTTTTCTTGTTTACCACTTGATTTCTAGGTATATTTTTTCATGCAAGGGCAGTTTTTCAACCTTATTGTACAGTGTTTGTGTAAAGTTTTCTTTAGTGACAACTTGTAATCCTAAGTATATGGTAAGCATCTTGTCTATTGTGAAGAGGGTGTGAAAATAAAACCTGCCAGTTTGAAAATCTTGATGAAAATAAAAACTAGAAATGCTGTGGTACTTATTATAAGGGAGAGGAGGGGTTGTTCTGCCTCAAATGAAATGGTTGCAACCTTACAAAACAAAATCCTGGGTTCAAGTGTTTATTTGTTAAAGTACAGAATACTCATGTCACTTCTTCTACAAATGAGGAAACAAATGAGTTTCCATCTCTTCATTTTTATATGAATTGCAGATAAAAGGGTAACACTAATGCAAGGCCATCCTTCATCTTTCTCTAAAAAGTTTAAAAAAAAAAAAAAAAAAAAGACTGCAAAATTTGTTTCTTATTGGACCAGTACTGACTGCAGCCTAACACTGGGGGACGTGGATCCTCATGTCATCCATTCTTACCGTCAAAACTTTAACATTGAAAGTGAATAAACCTCGGTCTGACAAGTGTAACATAGCAATGGTTCTGAGATTAAATAAAAGTTTAAAAGTGTGTGGAACCTTTTGTTTGTATATGGGGAAAGGGTCAACCAGTAGGGGTTTATGCCCTCACTTACTGTAAATCTTTCTTACCCATGCAGGAGCATTAAGTTTTTGAGAGGGTGCTCTACTTATATTCTTTCAACTGTTAACTACTTCTTACATAATATTTGCATTTATGGAACACAAACACTTTTATTGCTTCTGCTGAAGTTCAAAGATTGCGTTGCATAACAGTAAAACCCTGGGCATAAGTTGTGTTGATGCTGAGGCAAAACTGACTCACAGTAATGAGGTGCTCACGTGAAAGAAAGGAAGAACAAACAAGTACTTGCTTCCCTGCTTGAGTTACTGCTTGAAGATTTTTTGGAATTGGCAATGTAGCAGAGCTCAGTCACTTGAGACAAGAGACAGGAGAAAGCATGCTCTTCTGTAGCAGCCTCAGCAACATCAGAAATGTGAGTAAATTTCTCTTGGCTATAAAAATTGCCACTGTTAGGTGAGCAGAGATGGGGAAGTTACACCCCAATTCTGAGAAAAAGAATAATACATGCTGTTTTAAGTGATGATGATTTACCAAACTAGGATACTAGACTAAAGCTTATGACAGGCACTCATTTTCTGAAAGCATGGAACACAATGGGAGGCATAGGGTTGACCAGGAATCCAGTGCCCTGGTAGCAGCAAGGAGTCACCTGCTTGCTCACTTTTTTTTCAGGGGGTGGGGGGGTGGTCACTGTGGCAATTACAATCACGTGTACATTTTGATTTTGATCCTGCTGGTAGGTGCTTACATGCCAGCCAGTCTTATGCTGTACAGTGTATGAAGAGGCTGGTACTTTCAAAGAGAAGCTAGAACAAAACAAGTTTCCTCACATTCTGGCTTGCTTTTGTTACAAGCTCTGTGCGAACATAATCTTTTTGTTGCATAATAGAAACCTGTGTGTTTTGGGGGATTTTGAGAAGCTATTGTTTCTATCTTGTGCTGTGAGAATTTAAGTATTATAATGCACAGAACCTAGCAGGAGGGTTTAATTTTACAGTGTGTGCTTTAGAAGGATTTTCTGTTACAGATTTCAGTTTTAGTTGCATATGAGTGACTGATAACTTCCATTGTTTCCATGTTGCATTCCAGTTGCTTTTGATGGCATTTTTGTAACCAAAGAATTAAAACGTGTCATTGTTCCACAGCAACTTGTACAGCTGTTAATGTAATGCAAAACTACTGTCAATACTGAAAAATCATATCAAGGTGCAGTTTCCCAGTACCCCGACTTACTGTATGGTATAAACTACAGTTAACTTGCAAAAGAATAAATTTGGAGTGACAGATCCTCTAAGCATGACTTAAGACTTGTCTCTCTTATTTCTACTTAAAATGAGAAGCTCCAGGAATTTTGGCAGTCACTTAGGAAAGATTAAAGTTCCCTAGGTCTTATACCTGTATGTTTTTGTTGGCTTCAGTCATTCTGATTTATTCTTGTGCAAGATCAAACTAAGAACTGGCTTAAGGTAAATGTCTGCCAAAACATTTACAGATAAGTTAAAATAATGAGACGCGTTCTTCAGTAGGCAGTGCTCTGTTCCTTGCTCCAGAGATTTTTCCTATTACCTTATACTTCTTATGATAGTTATTTGTTTTGGTGACAAGTTGAAGAGCCTTCAACCATATTATATATCGGGGGATTTTTAGAAGGGCACAGATTAGTTTTAGGCTAAATGGCATCTATTAAGTTGGGAAAATTATTTCTGCCCTAAGAGTTTAACAGTGAGTGTTAGAGCACCAAGTCCATTCTTGGGAAGAAATAAAAACCTCTTAATCAGGCACTAAGTCATAGTTAAACTGAATTTGAGTGATTTTTTTTTTTAAACCTTAGAGCATCTGTGCTTTTCACAAAGTTTTTATATATAGGGTATTGCTTTTGCAAATGCTGAAGCCTGAAGTGGTGATTTTTGTTACTACTGATTGTCTTACAGCTTTCTGTGTAGGTTTTTCTCCTAAATCAAGTCTCTCTCGTATGTCCTCTGCTTTTTTTTTTTCTGGTCTGTTCTGGTATTCTCTCACTCAAATCGGAATCCAATCAGCAAGGTGCTATTCTCTGTCTTTACTGCTCCACATCAATTGCACCTATGCTTAAGGGAATTTGCCCAATACAGGGAGTGTGATGTAGG